TAGGGGTGGTTGGGAGTGGGTAAGGTAGGGGTGGTTTGGGAGATGGGGTGGGATGGTAGGGGTTGGTGGGGGTGGAGAATAAGGTGGAGAAGGTTGAAAAAGAGTTTTGAAAAATATTTTCCCTTTTCTTAATAGGAAAAATATTTTTCTCCAAGTGTTCATGAGAAATATTTTTCAAAACATTTAAGCCAACCAAACATGGGAAAATTAAAAAAAATATTTTCTGAAAAATATTTTCCTTCATACCAAACACACCCTTAGTTGTTCACTTTTGACTTTGCGCACCCTTTAAAAAATATAAATAAAGTGCGTATTTTATAATTTTATCCATAATAATGATAGTATTTCAAAAAAAATGGGAAATGATTTGAAGAATTAGTAGTTAATGATAAGCGTAAAATATGAAAAAAAAGATTGTCTTTCTCTTGATTTACTAAAATTGATAAGTAAATGTGAAAATATATTTTTAGTATGGTGGACAAGTAACCAAATATATGTATAATTTAGTTGGAACTTAAATTCAAATTACTTTCGATATAAAAAAACAAAGTCAATGTTTATACATTTTGAAAAAAATTATGATTCAACTAATAGTCAACAATTATTTGAAAACGCAGTTAATTTTAATTTAGATAACAATCAAGATCGTCGTAAATCAAACTAGTATTAGTACCCGCACGATTCGAGGACAAATATAAAATTATGATTTGGGTAATTTGAATTATGTGCAAATTACGTTAAAATTTAAACCTTCCAGATAAAAATTATATACAATTATTAGATATCAGTTAAGAAGCAGGACATGAAACCATTTCCCATATTTCGTACTGGATAATATGTTTTCCTTTTTTAAAAATTTATTTGTGACAACCCAACCCCTTGATCTTAGTACTTGCATTTTATTTTGTGGTCAACATTAAATAATATCAAATATATCACGTTGTAATATGTATTGTATGAGCATATTATTTTAACAAAATTCTTTTTACTACCACTTTATGTTTTACCTCAAAGTCGAATAAGTCTCATCCTTCTACATTGTCACCCAAACAAAAAATTCTATTTAATCTTTGCTTATAGTTGTTGCATTATTCATTACTTAATATTGTTATATTTTATTAGCTTACCAATTGACTTAATATCTTTCTTATTACCTTTTTGATAATCATATATAAATATAATTTTTTATTCCTAAAATATAATGTATTTTTATACTTTTATCCTCTTACTCAGAGCTCTTTCGTCATTTAAATCTATCAATAATATTTTTGAATATTATTAATTATTTAATATTGTAAAAAATTATTTATTTGTTGTTGTTGTTGTTGTTGTTGTTGTTGTTGTTGTTGCATTTAATATCCTTAAATTAATTCAAAGTATAAATATTCTCACACTCTATTTTTCCTCTTTATATATTTTAACCCCTATTATAAATTTTAATTAGTTTTTTATATTAATATTTTATAATATAATTAAAATATGATGTATCACATTTTATTTTAAGTTATAATTGTTTTTTAGTTTCAGGATACAAATTTAACTTTTATTTTGGTTACTAAATTACCTACGTGAGACATTTATTTTGTATTCTTAAAATTTTAATTTTGTTATCCAATTTTTATTTTTATTTATCTAGTTAAACTTTAATTTTGTGGTTCTATCCATAGTTTGAGCGTTTTAACTATAATTTTAATCTAATCTCAAGTTCAAATCATCGTTTCCTTCTATTTCTAATATTAAATATTTTTAAATTGTTAATTATTGCTACTACGTAACTAATATATATTATTTCATATTTTCATGTGTCCTTCCTTAACTTTTCTTTTTATTTATATCATTATCTATTTATATCCTTTAATATAATATAGATCAACATATATTTTTTTAATCTTGATATAAATATTTATATTATTTTAAATTAATACTAGAAATTATTAAATTATTTAAATTTATTAATAATATTTTAATTATTATATACTATTTTTTAAAATATTTTGATTTAGTTATTTATTATTAATTAATTGAGAAATAAGCTATATGTGGCTTTTTCTGGTTATGCCATATGACTGAATTAGCTATTAGTTAATAGTTAATATGTTACATGTGGCTTATCTTAAGGCTGCAACTTGGCTTAAGGAGAAGGCTTCATGATTGAATTTAACTTTTATTTTTGTTACTAAATTACCTACATGAGACATTTATTTTGTATTCTTAAAATTTTAATTTGTTATCCCATTGTTATTTTTATTTATCTAGTAAAACTTTAATTTTGTGGTCCTATCCATAGTTTGAACGTTTTTACCATAATTTTAATTTAATCTCAAGTTCAACTCATCATTCCCTTCTATTTATAATCTTAAATATTTTTGAATTTTTAATTATTAATATTTCTTTGGTAAATAAAGACTTTATTACCAAGTAAAATATGTACAGCTCAACAAAAAAGAAACAAATTGCTCAATAGAGGAAAATGAACACCGGTTCCATTTTCCTGTACATCAGTCGTTCCCCCTTACAATGCCCACCTACATACTCAAGGATAAGAATTAAGGTGTTGCAGCGTTCTTGCCATAGTTGCCTCCTTGATTGCTCTATAGAAGACTTCTTGAACTATCATCTTTGTGATTTTTGATGTACTTCTTTGTGTTTGCCTAAATATCCTTTGATTCCGCTCCATCCAAACATGATATACAGTTCCGGCCAGCACCATTCTATAGATTTCCGACTTAGAATTCTTTCCATTATAATGCATTACAACCCATGCTAGTTCGTCTTTCCAGCTCGGTGCTTGTCTTTGAATTCCTTGCCATTCCAGTATTTTATCCCATATTTCGGAGGTTATTTCACATTCAAAGAATATGTGTGAAATAGTCTCATCTTGTTGGTTGCATAGTGGACATATTTGGTTCACCAATATACTCCAACGAGTTAGCCTGTCAAGTGTAGATAGTCTCTCATGTGCAGCCAACCGGAGGATGAAAATCCATTTGGGGGTAGCCATGTTGTTGCATATCATTCTCTTTCAGGGTACCTTGTCATAATCCCCCCCGAGCTTCCTGTACATTTTCCTAATGGAAAACTTTCCTATTCCCAGGAATTCAGTCAAGGTGATGCCAGCTTGCTCCAAGTGCTTGCCTGCCTTAATGATCTTTTGGACACACCGTGATGCTTGATTATATTTCGCCGCCCATATTAGTCCTTCCTTCCAATAGTAGGCATGAAACCATAAGAACCACAGTTTGTTCTTCTTTTTGCATAGATTTCCAAAATTGTTGAAGTATAACAACTTTGTTCCATGCCTTCATTTCAGTAAAGTTCACACCACATGCAGATTGAGGTTGGCACAGAATATCCCATGCTAGAAGTGCCTTGTTTTATCTTTCCTTATCTCCAGTCAATAAGAATTTTCTGCAATTCGAGGTGATCAGTTTTTATGATCTTTTTGGGGAGCATGAACACATGCAACCAGAATGTTTGGACTAAGAACATGACACTTTTGATTAGTAGCACTCTCCCTGCATAAGTTAGAAATTTAGAAGTCCAACTGGTTATTCTTCCTAGTATTTTTCTACCAATGATTGGAATTGAGTGCTAGATAGTCTTTTAGAACTTAGGGGCGCACCAAGATATCTAACTGGCAATTCTCCGTGTGAAAAGCCCAGCAAATTGAGTATTTGTTGCTTTAGAACAAGTTTAACCCCACAGAAGTAGATAGAACTCTTGCTAGGATTTGCAATGAGTCCTGAAGCTCTTGAAAAGTATTGAAAGCATTGGAATAAAATCTGGACATATTGCATATCCCCTTTACAAAATAGCAGTAGGTCGTCGGTAAATCCTTGTTGGATAATCTTCGTTTTGGCACACTTGCGATGATATTTGAATCCGGGATTCTTGGTCATTCTTTTCAGCATTCTGCTGAAGTATTCCATAGCTAGTACTATTGCGTTACCTAATATATAATATTTTATGTTTTCATGTGGCCTTCATTAACTTTTCTCTTTATTTAATATCATGTGGTGACTTGGGACAGAGAAATCCGGATGAATACCACAAGGGGGGCATAGGGCTGTGTGAACGCGGCTGTTACCTAATATATAATATTTTATGTTTTCATGTGGCCTTCATTAACTTTTCTCTTTATTTAATATCGTGTGGTAGTTGGCAAGGTGATTTCCTTTCAAACTTGAATTGGCTAAGTAACCTGTGTGGTAGTTGGCAAGGTGATTTCCTTTCAAACTTGAATTGGCTAAGTAACCTTCAGGTTTTAATTATTGTAGAATTGACTTTCATGCTTAATTAATAGTTAAGTGAGATTATAAAGTGAAAGAAAAAAGTTGAGTATTTATCCCTAAAGTTTCAATTATTATACTTTGTCCCCAACTTATATAAATGTAATATTACCAGATTTTAAAAAAAAAAAACCATCCCTTCCCGCCTCATCTACCGCCCAATCCTCATTTTCTACGGCTGATTCATTCATTGTAGCTTATTTTTCTTGCATTCAACATACAAAGGTCGTCTCCCTTCTTTCCCATTCCTCTCAAAGCTTCATTCTTTTGATTTAACATTTACTTTGAAGAAATCGACAAATTTGGGTTTTTTCGGATCTGTCGAATTTGGAAAAGAAATTGGTGGTACATTGAATTGATAATTCATTTCAGGTGGTATATTGTGTACCTCCTTCATCTTGTAAGTTTTTTCATCTCATTTTCTTCGTCATTGTTAATTTGGATTTCTGCAAATCTTTTCTGCACAGTGCTCGACCACTATTGTATAATAGACCACTGGTTCACAATAGACTAATAGCATATTATATATTAGTATGCAATCTATATTCTGATGAATGGGTTGAGGGGCCCACTAGTTGGAATTGGAATTCCTATATAAAAGTTGCGGTACCTATCCGTATACCTAGCAATTGTACATTTGACAAATTTGTTGATGTCATCATTAAATATGAAAAACTAACATGTTTTCCGAGGAATTTGAATATTACACATATGCTTAGCTTTGCACCGAAGAAGGAAAAAATTCCTCCTTCCTTCATTAAGAATGACAATGATTTGCAATTGTACCTCCTTGATGTTACAATTGATGGTATAAGGCCTTGTTTGAAGAAATTTCTGGCTGAAAATGAGTTTGAAGAAGGCGCTGAAGTTCTTGTTGAAAGGTCTCTTTAAGGTTCAAATGTCACAGCTGCACTACCACCACCATCACCACCAATACAGCCACCAATTTTAGAATTAGAGGACGAAAGAATGATGAAAAATGGCTTCAGTGAATTTAGTGATGACTTGCATGATTTTGGTAACAATGAAATGAACTCGTATGATTCGGAAGATGCAGATGGAGCAAAAGAGCTCCCAGATATTGTCACTCGGGCAGCTGGAGATAAAGGCATGGTGGACTCGTTAGCTACACAACACAACCACTCTGATGGTACAGATATTTTCCTTGGGAAATGTTTTGACAACAAATTAGATCTAATGAAACAGTTTGAGATTTTTTATATGAAAAAACATTTTACGTTTTGTATGAGGAAGAGTAGCAGTAAATTAACTTCAATGGCATGCCAAGATGTGAGTTGCCCGTGGAAGTTACGCGCTTTAAAGTATGAGAGTTCTGATAGGTTTTATATTACCAAGTACCATGGCGAGCACACATGCGGGGTACAACACATATCAAGTCGTCATCCTAATACGTCGTCGAAGACTTTGGTGCATATTACCAGGAACGGTATGTTAATGGAAAAGGTCCATCCCCGTCAGATCTGAAAGATGCTATTTTTGCAGATTTTAATCAAAATCTTACTTATTGGATGAGCTGGAACGTAGGTAAAATAGTTAAGTCTATGATCAGGGGTACTTAGGAAGATGGGTATACTTTGTTAGAAGCGTATCGCCATATTATGATGTCCTATAATGAAGGAAGTATTGTTGATTTGAAGTATGATCATAAACTGCATTTTCGATATTTTTTCTTATCTGTTGGAGCTTTCATTAAGGGATTCGCGCATATGAGAAATGTTAATACTGTTGATGGGACATTTCTGAGTGACAAGTATGGAAGCTGCTTGTTATCTGTTGTAGCACAAGATAAAGAAAATCACATTTTTCCAATTGCGTTCTGTGTAGTCAATAAAGAGCGCGATGATTCTTGGACCTACTTTTTTGAACAGTTGCGGCACATTGTTGATGAAAATGTTCAATTGTGCATTATATCTGATCGACATGTGTCTATTGGGAATGTCTTCAGAAAAGTTTTTTTTGTCACTTATCATGGTTTTTGCACGCGTCACATTGCTGAAAATATGTGCCAGAGGTTTCGTTGTGGGATTTTAATTAAGTATTTCTTTTCTGCTGCACAGTCATACAGTACTAAGGATTTCTTTGACCATTTTATGCAATTGCGTGATAAAAGCAAGGAAGTAGCTAACTGCCTCGCGAATGAAATTGGGTTCCAAAAGTGGAGCAGGGTCTTCTTTCTAGGAAACTGGTACGTCATGTTAACAACAAACATTGCAGACTCGCTTAACGCAATGCTTAAAGACCAAAGATACTTCCCGATCATTGGCCTATTCAATCATATTATTCGAAAGTTTGCAGAAAAATTCGAGGAGAGGCATAATGAAATGAAAAATGCTTTGACCCTTTTTGTTCCTTCTGCTAAAAAGAAGATTAAGAATAATATGGTTATCGGCGACACGCTTTGGGTGCATCAATTAGATAATAACTAGTTTAGCATCGTCGGGCACGATGTAACGACCTGATCGGTCATTTTAAGAGTAATAGCCCCAATCCCCTATTTATTGCTTTTCCCATATCTTCTTCTGCTATTGTGACTTTCTGGGAGATTTCGTTTTGGTTTTTGGAGTGATGTGGGATACTTAGTCCCTAAACAAAAGCTTAAGTCTAGGATTTTGACCGTAGTCAAAATTGTGTGAAGACGACTTTGAAATGGAGTTTTGTCGGTTCCGTTAGCTTCGTTGGGTGATTTTGGGCTTAGTAGCATGTCCGAATTATGTTTTGGAGGTCCGTAACTTATTTAGACTTGAAATGGCGAAAATCCATTTTTTGGAGATTTGGACCGGTAGTGGAAATTTTGATATCGGGGTCGGGTTCCGATTCTGGAAGTTGGAGTAGGTCCGTAATGTTAATTATAACTTGTGTGCAAAATTTGAGGTCAATCGAACGTGATTTGATAGGTTTCGACATCGGTTGTAGAAGTTTATAGTTTCAAGTTCATTAAGTTTGAATCAGAGGGTGATTTGTGATTTTAGCGTTGTTTGATGTGGTTTGAGGGCTCAACTAAGTTTGTACGGTATTTTAGGACTTTTTGGTATGTTTGATTGAAGTCTCGGGGGCCTCGGGTGTGTTTCGGATGCTTAACAGATTGAATTTGGACTTAGGCTAGTTGTTGAAGATTTTCTGGTTTCTGGTATTTTTGCACCTGCGTAAGGGAAACCGTAGGTGCGGAATCGCATGTGCGAAGGAGGAGTCGTAGATGCGGCCAAGAAGGAGTTGGGCAGGAACCGCAAGTGCGAAGATTTTTCCGCACCTGCGAGAATCGCAAATGCAGGCAACTGGACGCAGGTGCGAAGGGGGGCCGCAGGAGTGATGCATTTCCGCACCTGCGATAGTCGCAGATGCGACAGAGAGTCCGCATGTGCGAGATGTCAGGACAGAACACTTAAATGCAACGGTTCGCGATTTTTGCTCATTTTCAACATTTTGAGCTCGGGTTTGGCGATTTCTTGAGGTGAGTACCTTGTGCGTATTTTTGATCAATAATCTTACTTTTCCATTTATTTTTCCACTAGTTAGTGTGTATTTAAGGTGGAAATTGGGAGTTGGAGGCTAGAGATTTGGAAAGTTTGATTTGTGGATTTGAAGAACCATTTGGTATCGAATTTTTATAAATTTGATATGATTAGACTCGTGAGTGAATGGGCTTTCGAATTTTGTGACTTTTACCCGATTCCGAGACGTGGGCCCGGGTCGACTTTTTAGGACGGATTTCAGAATTTTTATTAAAATCTTAATTTTATTAATTAGATTAGTCTATTATAGTTATATTTATGATATACAATTGTGTTTGGTTAGATTTGGGCCATTCGTAGTCGGATAATCGAGGAAAGGGCATTCTTACAGATTGGTTGAGCATGACTCGAGGTAAGTGGCTTGTCTAACTTTATGTGGGGGAAATCCACCTTAAGATTTGGAACCATTATGATATGTGAGCATCGTGTACGTGAGGTGACGAGTACGTATACAGACTAGTTGTGGTAAAACCCGATTTTCTTACTGAGCAGCAACATGTTTTCCTTTTATTTTGAGTTATACCACTTTAATGAGTATTAATCTATTTTTATTCTTAATTAAGTTATTCCAATATGTGTAGCTATCCTGCTTAGTCTAATACATCATGTCTACATGTCTTAATTGCTTATGTGAACTCTGTGCAACATGCGTAGTGAATTTCCTGCTTCTTCCTTGACTGGTACTTAGTCTAAATCATAAGATTTCGTGATGTAGTTGTATTTCTATTGTTTGCGCTGCATATTTACTTTGGGACTACGGAACGGTATTCCGGGAGATCCCCCCTATACTGCATATTTACTTTGGAACTACGAAACGGTATTTCGGGAGATCCCTCTGTACTGTATATTTACTTTGGGACTACGGAGATCCCCCATGCACATTTACGTTTGAGACTACGAGACGGTATCTCGGGAGATTCCCTACTATATTTCTGTGTATTGAGTTGTTACTTACTATGAATTCTTTCTTGTTAAATTTCAGTCTTTATTTTACTGCGATATTTCATTCTTGCCTTGCTTTATTATCATATTCCAGTAGGGCCCGTACCTGACCTCGTCACTCCTTTACCGGGGTTAGGCTTGGCACTTACTAGGTACCGATTGTGGTGTACTCATGCTACTCTTCTGCACATGTTTTTCACCTGCAGATCTAGGTGTTTCTTATCAGCCACACTATCAGTGAGCCGGGACAGCTTTGGGGACTTCAAGGTATATCTGCCGCGTCCGCAGACCTCGGAGTCTCATTCTACTCTTCCCCATGTCCATTATCTTCTGTATTTTCTTTTAATAGAATATGATGTATAGAGACACTAGAGTTTTCTCCTGTAGTTTGTGATTCACGATGTTCCGGATTTTGGGATTGTTGTATTATTTTTGAATAGCTGGTTAAATTTATATTTTTATCTCATTATTCCACAAACAATGTTATGCTTAGCTAGTTGTAGAGACTAGGTGCCGTCAAGACGTCACACAGAGAGGAAATTGGGTCGTGACAAGTTGCTATCAGAGCTCTAGGTTCATAAGTGTCGTGAGTCACAAACTGGTTTAGTAGAGTCTCGCGGATTGGTATGGAGACGTCTGTACTTATCTTCGTGAGGCTATGGGGTTTTTAGGAAAATTTTACTACTTTGATTCCTTGTCGTGCGAAAATTGTTGACTTCAAAAATTCTAAACTTATGTATTCTATTCTCTTACAGATGGTGAGGACACGTACAAGCGGATTTGATGACCAGGCACCCGCGCCCCCTACTAGAGCCGTGAGAGGCCGGGGCCGGGGTAGAGACCGAGGACGTCCATGAGGTGCAACCAGAGCACCCGCACGAGCTGCTACAGATGAGCCCCCAATAGCTCCAGCTGGAGGGCAGACACCTGAGATACATGTTGCTGCACCAGCCCTCCAGAAGACTCTAGACCAGTTTTTGAGCATGTTCAACACCTTAGCTCAGGCTGGATTGATTCCACTTGCTCCTGCCACATATCAGGTCGGGGGGGAGCACAGACTCTGGTCGCCAGTACCCCAGAGCAGTGAGTTCAGGTCGACCAGGTTCCAGAGATTGTATCAATGCAGCCGATAGCTCCAGCTCAGCCCGAGGTTAGTGCAACAACTTCTAAGGTGGAGCAGCTCAGACTTGAGAGGTACAAGAAGTACCACCCACCTACCTTCAGCAGATTGGCTACAGATGACGCTCAGGGTTTTCTAGAGGAGTGTCATCATATTCTCCGTACTATGGGCGTAACAGAGATGAGCGAGGTTTCTTTTACTACATTCCAGCTTAGAGGAGCAGCCTATCAGTGGTGGCGTGCCTATGAGCTGAGTAGTCCGGATGAGCCAGTTTCACTTACATGGACTCAGTTCTCGAACATGTTTTTGATAGAGTATGTCCCTCAGAGCCTCAGGGACTCACGGCACGTGGAGTTTGAGTAGCTGCACCAGGGTGTTATGACTGTGTTAGAGTATGCAGTTCGTTTCATCGATTTGGCCCGACATGCATCGGCCTTAGTTGCCACAGTCCGAGAGAGGGTTCGACGGTTTATTGAAGGACTCCACCCCAGCATCCGGAGTAGTATGGCCAAGAAGGTGGAGATGGATATTTCTTATCAACAGGTTGTGAGTATTGCCAAGAGATTTGAGGGCATGTTGGCCCGGGATAGAGAAGAGAGGGAGGCCAAGAGGTCTCGAGAGAATGGTTATTATTCTGGAGCTTGTGCCCCAGCAGCTCGCCATGGTAGGGGTTATGTGAGTTTCCCCGTTCATTCACTTCTTCTAGCCACCAACGGTGTTCCAGCTCCTTCTAGACCCCATGAGCCTTATTATGCACCACCAGTATCTAGTGTGCCTCCTGCACGGGGTGTTCCTAGAGGCTAGTCTAGCAGATCTGACCCGAGCCAGCCACAACAACCACGTCCTCCCAGAGCTTGTTTTGAGTGTGGTGACACTTGCCATGTGGTGAGGGATTGCCCCAGGATTAGGAGGGGTGCACCTCCTCAAAATTCTCAGCCACAGCGTGCTCCACCAGGTCCTCAGGCTATGATTACAGCACCACCTTCCACCCACCTGCTCAGCCAACTCGAGGTGGAGGTCGGGGAGGTAGAGGTCACCATAGAGGGGGAGGCCAGGCCAAATATTATGCACTTCTTGCTCGTAAAGAGGTAGTTGTTTCTGCTTCTATCATTACAGGTATTGTTCCAGTCTGTCATAGAGATGCGTCGGTATTATTTGACCCAGGCTCTACATATTCTTATGTGTCCTCTTATTTTGCCCCGTATTTGGGCGTATCGCGGGATTCTTTGAGTTCCCCTATTTATATGTCCAATCCTGTGAGAGATTCTCATGTTGTAGACCGCGTGTATCGGTCGTGTTTGATTGCTCTTAGTGGTTTTGAGAGCAGAGCCGATTTATTATTGCTCAGCATGGTGGACTTTGATATTATTTTGGGCATGGACTAGTTGCCGCCCCATTATGCTATTCTTGATTGTCATGCCAAAACATTGACGTTCGCTATGCCAGGATTACCGCGATTAGAGTGGAGAGGTACCTTAGAGTATACTCCCAACAGAGTTATTTCATTTCTTAAAACTCAATGAATGATTAAGAAGGGGTGTGACGCGTATCTAGCTTATGTGAGAGATGCCAGTATTGATAACCCTACAGTTGAGTCAGTCCCAGTAGTGAGGGATTTTCCAGATGTATTTCCAGCTGATTTTCCGGGCATGCCGTCCGACAGAGATATTGACTTTGGCATTGATGTGTTACCGGGCACTCAGCCCATCTCTATTCCTCCGTACCATATGGCTCCTCCTGAGTTGAACGAGCAGTTACATGAGTTGCTTGATAAGGGCTTCATTCGGCCTACTGTGTCACCTTGGGGTGCTCCTGTCTTATTTGTGAAAAAGAACGATGGTTCTATGCGGATGTGTATTGATTACCGCCACTTGAACAAAGTTACAGTGAAGAACATGTATCTATTGCCTTGTATTGATGACTTATTTGATCATTTACAAGGTTCCAGGGTGTTTTCCAAGATACGTTTCGGCTATCATCAGTTGAAGATTTGGGAGCCAGATATCCCGAAAACTGCCTTCAGGACTCGGTATGGTCACTACGAGTTCCTTGTGATGTCTTTTGGGCTAACCAATGCCCCAGCAACTTTAATGCACTTGATTCACAGTGTGTTCCGGCCTTATCTTGATTCATTCGTCATTGTGTTTATTGACGAAATTCTGGTATACTCCCATACTTGGGAGGATCATGAGCAACACCTGAGGACTGTGCTTCACACCTTGAGAAAAAAGAAGTTATATGCAAAAATTTCAAAGTGTGAATTTTGGCTAGACTCAGTGGCATTCTTGGGTCATATAGTATCGAGTGAGGGGATCCAGGTGGATCCAAAGAAGATTGAAGCAGTGTAGAGTTGGCCCAGACCGTTCTCAGCTATGGAGATCCGGAGTTTTCTTGGTTTGACGGGGTATTACCGTCGATTTGTAGAGGGTTTCTCAACTATTGCAGAAACTATGGCCAAGCTAACCCAGAAGAGTGCTCCGTTAAGGTGGACAGAGGAATGTGAGGAGAGCTTTCAGAAGCTCAAGACAGCTTTGACTACAGCACCAGTATTGGTATTGCCTACAGGTTCGGGGTCTTATATTGTATATTGTGATGCCCCACAGATTGATCTTGGCGCGGTGTTGATGCAGAACGGTAGGGTGATTGCCTACGCATCCAGACAGCTGAAGGTGCATGAAAATAACTATGATGTTCATGGAGTTAGCAGCTATTGTTCATGCCTTGAAGATTTGGCGGCATTATTTGTACGGTGTTCCTTGTGAGATCTACACCGATCACCGGAGTTTACAGCATCTGTTCAAGCAGAATGATCTTAATTTGCGTCAGAGGAGGTGGTTGGAGCTACTTAAGGATTATGATATAACCATTTTGTACCACCCTGGGAAGGACAATGTGGTGGCCGATGCTTTGAGTCTCCGGGCAGATAGTTTGGGGAGCTTAGCATATCTACCAGTAACAGAGAGGCCCATGGTGTTGGATGTTCAGCCCTTAGCCAGTCAGTTTGTGAGATTGGATATTTCTGAGCCGAGTCGAGCATTGGCTTTGGTGGTTTCTCGGCCTTCCCTTTATGATCGTATCAGGGAGCATCAGTATGATGACCCCCATCTGCTTGTCCTTAAGGACACGGTCCAGCACGGTGATGCTAAGGAGGTCACTATTGGAGATGATGGTACATTGAGGATGTAGGGCAGACTATGTGTGCCAAATGTAGATGGTTTGCATGAGTTGATTCTCCAGGAGGCTCACAGTTTGAGGTACTCTATTCATCTGGGTGCCGCAAAGATGTATCAGGACTTGAAATAACATTTCTGGTGGAGGAGGATAAAGAAGGACATAGTAGAGTATGTGGCCCGATGTCTAAATTGCTAGCAGGTGAAGTATGAGTATCAACGACCAGGTGGGTTGCTTCATAAATTGGAGATTTCGGAATGGAAATGGGAGCGTATCACTATGGATTTCGTTGTTGGACTCCCACAGACTCAGCGGAGGTTTGATGCAGTTTGGGTGATTGTGGATGGGCTAACCAAGTCGGCTCATTTCATTCCTGTGATGACTACCTATTCTTCCGAGCTAGTAGCTCGAATCTACATCCGTGAGATCGTCAGGCTTCATGGCGTACCGATATCTATTATCTCTTAATGGGGTACGCAGTTTACATCACGGTTCTGGAGAGCTGTATAGCATGAGTTGGGTACTCAGGTTGAGTTGAGCATAACATTTCACCCTCAGACGGAAGGGCAGTCCGAGCGCAATATTCAGATATTAGAGGATATGCTTCGTGCGTATGTGATAGATTTTGTGGGTGATTGGGACCGGTTCTTTCCACTTGCGGAGTTTTCTTACAATAACAGTTATCAGTCCAGCATTTAGATGGCACCGTATGAGGCTCTGTATGGTAGGCGGTGTCGGTCCCTAGTAGGTTGGTTCGAGCCCGGCGAGGCCAGATTATTGGGTACGGACTTGGTTCAGGATGCCTTGGAAAAGGTTAAGGTGATTCAGGATAGACTTCGCACAACCCAATCCAGATAGAAGAGTTATGCAGATCGGAAGGTTCGCGATGTAGCATTCATGGTTGGAGAGTGAGTCTTGCTCCGGGTTTCTCCTATGAAGGGAGTTATGAGGTTTGGAAAGAAGGGAAAGCTGAGACCAAGGTTCATTGGTCCATTTGAGGTGTTGCTGAGAGTTGGGGAGGTTGCTTATGAGCTTGCCTTGCCTCCCAGTATACCAGGAGTTCATCCGGTATTCCATGTTTCTATGCTCCGAAAGTATCACAGCGATCCGTCTCATGTGTTGGATTTCAACTCAGTCCAGTTGTATAAGGATCTATCTTATGTTGAGGAGCCAGTGGCTATTTTAGTCTTTAGACAGGCAGGTCAGAAAGCTAAGATAAAAAAACATTGCTTCCGTGAAGGTTTAATGGAGGGGACAGCCGGTCGAGGAGGCGACTTAGGAGACCGAGCAGGATATGCGCAGCTGTTATCCTCATCTTTTCACCACTTCAGGTATGTCTCTATGCTTATTCAAGGACGAACGAGTGTTTTAAGAGGGGGAATGTAACGACCCGGCCGGTCATTTTGAGAGTAATAACCCCGATCACCTATTTACTGCTTCTCCCATATCTTTTTCTGTTATTGTGACTTGCCGGGAGGTTTCGTTTTGGTGTTTGGAGTGATTTGGACAGGAACCGCAGGTGCGAAGATTTTCCCGCACCTGCGAGAGTCATAGATACGGGCAGCTAGGCGCAGGTGTGATGCATTTCTGCACCTGCGATAGTCACAGATGCCACAGAGAGTCCGCAAGTGCGAGATGTCTAGACAGAACACTTAAATGCAAAGGTTCGCGAGTTTTTGCCCATTTTCAACATTTTGAGTTCGGGTTTGGCGATTGTTTGAGAGAATATTTGAGGGGTTTCTTGAGGTAAGTCCCTTGTGCGTATTTTTTATCAGTAATCTTGCTTCCCCGTTTATTTTCCCACCTAGTTAGTGTGTATTTAAGGTGGAAATTGGGAGTTGGAAGTTAGGGATTTAAAAAGTTTTGATTTGTGGATTTGAAGGACCATTTGGTGTCGGATTTTTGTAAATTTGATATCGTTAGACTTGTGAGTGAATGGGCTTTCGGATTTTGTGACTTTTATCCGATTCCGAGACGTAGGCCCAAATTGACTTTTTAGGACGGATTTCGAAATTTTTATTAAAATCTTGATTTCATTAATTAGATTAGTCTATTATAGTTGTATTTATGATATGCAATTGTGTTTGGTTAGATTTGGGCCATTCGGAGTCAGATAATCGAAGAAAGGGCATTCGTACAGATTGATTGAGCTTGACTCGAGGTAAGTGGCTTGTCTAACTTTGTGTGGAGGAAATCCACCTTAAGATTTGGAACCATTGTGATATGTGAGCGCCATGTACGTGAGGGGACGAGTACGTACACGTTCTAGTTGTGGAAAAGTCCGATTTTCTTACGGAGCAGCAATATATTTTCCTTTTATTTTGAGTTATACCACTTTAATGAGTATTAATCTATTTTTATTCTTAATTAAGTTATTCCAATATATGTAGCTATCCTGCTTAGTCTAATACAACATGTCTACGTGTCTTAATTGCTTATGTGAACTCTGTGCAGCATGCTTAGTGAATTTCCTGTTTCTTCCTTAACTGGTACTTAGTTTAAATCGTAAGATTTCATGATGTAGTTGTATTTCTATTGTTTGCGCTGCATATTTACTTTGTGACTACGGAACAGTATTTTGGGAGACCCCCCTTGTACTGCATATTTACTTTGGGACTACGGAACGGTATTCTGGGAGATCCCTCTGTACTGCATATTTACTTTGGGACTATGGAATGGTATTCCGGGAGATCCCCTTGTACTGCATATTTACTTTGGGACTATGGAACAGTATTTCGGGAGATCCCCCTATCTTGCATACTTACTTTGGGACTACGAAATGGTATTTTGGGAGATCCCCGTACACATTTACATTTGGAACTACGAGACTGTATTTCGGGAGATCCCCTGCTGTATTTCTGTGTATTGAGCTGTTACTTTCTATGAATTCTTTCTTGTTAAATTTCAGTCTTTATTTTACTGCGATATTTTATTCTTGCCTTGCTTTATTATCATATTCCAATAGGGCTCGTACTTGACCTCATCACTACTCTACCGGAGTTAGGCTTGGCCTTTACTGGGTACCGATTATGGTGTACTCATGCTACTCTTCTGCACATGTTTTTCGTGTGCAAATCCATTTGATCCTTATCACCCGCACTATCACTGAGCTGGAACAACTTTCTAGACTTCAAGGTATATCTGTCCACAGACCTAGGAGTCCCCTTCTACTCTTCCCCGTGTCCATTATCTTATGTATTTTCTTTTGATAGACTATGATGTATAGAGACACTAGATTTTTCGCCTGTAGTTTGTGATTCATGATGTTCTGGGTTTTGGGATTGTTGTATTATTTTTGAATAGTTGGTTAAATTTATATTTCATTATTCCATAAAAAATGTTAGGCTTACCTAGTTGTATAGTGTAGGTGCCGTCACGACGTCACGTGGAGGGGAAATTGGGTCGTGACATACGACATAGATGCATTAGTTGATCTGGATTTGAACACATGTTCTTGCTGTCAGTTTGATTTGGAAAAAATACCATGCCCACATGCAATGGCAACTCTGAGATTGAAATTTGAGGATGGATATGGTTTATCCATTTACGATCACTTATCTCCGTTCTATAAGGTTTCAACATATTTGGCTGCATATGAAGGAACCATTCACTTAATCCCTACAAAAGAGATATGGGTGGTGCCTGGCGAGATTCAATCCACAAAACTACTTCCACCCGATGTCAAGCCTACAAAGGGTAGAAGGAAGTTTAAGAGATGGCCAAGCATTTTAGAACCTAGTTCTTCTGGTTGCAGGAAGAAAGGCAAAAATAAATGTTCCATTTGCAAAGAACTTGGCCACAAGAAAATGACTTGTAAAGTATTGTTCCAGCATTCTTGATCTTTTAGCTACTGGTGTTGTATTAAAGATAATTAACTCTTTTAATATTCTAAACTTGTTGTTTGTAATCACTTGTTGTTTCTACTATCAACTGTTGCATTGTATCTCATAGACTATTGTCTTAGAATCAGCCACTCACAGTGTCTACTACAGACCTAAGATCTAGAGTCAACCCTCCCTTATTTTAAGGAGTCATGTGACTAAGTTGTCTCATAGACTACTATTTTATTGTCAATCACCCACTTTGTCTATTGCATACCTATGATCTAGAATCAACCCCCTTATTTTAAGGAGTCATGTGACCAAGTTATCTCATAGACTACTGTTTTAGAATCAACCACTTACATTGTCTATTGTAGACCTATGATCTAGAATCAAACCCTTATTTTAAGAAGGAGTCATGTGACTAAGTTGTCTCATAGACTACTGTTTTATTGTTAACCACCCACATTGTATATTGTAGACCTATGATCTAGAATCAACCCTCTTATTTTAAGAAGGAGTCATGTGACCAAGTTGTCTCATAGACTACTATTTTAGAATCAACCACTTACATTGTTAATTGTAGACCTATGATCTTGAATCAACCTCCTTATTTTAAGAAGGAGTCATATGACATACTTATTCCCTGTTTTACGATCAACCCCCCTTATTGTATCTTAAACCACTTGTAATCAACCAATATTCTATTGTCAACCCCCATTGATATTCTCAATTTAACCATGACTTGTTGCGCTGGTTTAAGTAGTCTATTGACAACCACTGGTTTAGGTAGTTAATTTAATATCTAATGTTAATAATAACTACCAACCAATATGAAAAGGAGTTGTATAATTAATTGAACTATATCGAATATGCCGATGCAAAGCATCAATTCATTTCTCAAAACACTCACACGTCATTTACGAAAGTCATATGGAAAAATACCATTTAGTATCAAATTTTTCCTATAAATACACTGGATCTGATGGAAATATTTATTCATTTTCCAAATAGTCCAATTACTTAACAGAGAAATACCCCCAAGGCCAAGTCCAAGCATGGATGCCATTTTCATCAGGGAATCACTGGATAGGCTCATCCGAGAGATCCAAGAAGACAGGGTGAGGCAAGAGAGGAACATTCGCAGTATAGCACGCATGCTGTAGATTCTCCTTCGTAGGGCTGTGCAAATATTAACCACTATGTTAGCCCGGGAAATTCTCCTCCCTGTGATCCTTCTCCCTATGCAGTTTAATTTTTTTTTCTTTAGTTAATGGGAAAAAATGTATACTGCTATGGGGAGGGGGGGGGGGGATTATTTAATTAAAATATTAAGTTTTTTCTATTTAAATTTTTGCCCTTTATTTTGAATTTTGTTTCCCTATTTTTTATTTTTATGCTTTTGTTATTTTTTTTTCATATGACAACACTTAAGTGCCATAAGGCCTCAAAATAAAATAAAGATGTTCCAATAGAAACATACAACTGAGGGGATATAAATTTTAGTCTTCCAAATGTTTGAATTTCCTGCCATTGAATTGAAAATTTTATAATAGTTTTTGAATAAACCTACAGTATATAGTCTATCCCACTGGTGTAATCCTTATCTTAGTAAATTCTCGACCATTAGTTTGCCCTCGACCGCAATATGAGTTGAGGATGAAACCTCAAGTTGACACTTGCCCATTAAAGAGGTTTATTGATTTATGCTGAATGTCCAGAGTTGGGGTTCAAGTTTGGGGTTTAGGGTTTATAGACTATTAAAGAAGTTTATCAGCGACTACTGGTTGATGAAAGATAACTGGTGCTGTTTAGTAAATTAAAATATGTCCATGTGATTTATCCCTAACCATACATTTTATGACACGTTAAAATTACCCATTTGACCGGCCATGTGATCAGAACAAAATTAATCACATTTTAATCATATTTTTTTGACTCGCTCAAATTAACCCATTTGATCCAAAAATAATTGATCGCAGATCAACCCTAATTTTTACTTCCGAAACACATTACTCAAACAATTGAAGAAAAATAAGTCAAGGGTCGAGTGCGTCCATTGGGCCGAGAAAGAATTATTACTGCGGTATGGCTGCAAGTCAATTTACAGCTACAACTCTGGTGGATGCTGGTCGGCGTTTCTCAAAATGTTCCAAAACTAAGGTAAGATGAATTCCACAGATTCACCTCTTTTTAATTTTAGAGATTTAATTTTACAAATAAATTATTTTGTCCATTTGATTCGATAGGGCAAAATATGTTAATTTTGGGAATGGGACGATGATCTGCTAAATCCAAGGATTGCTGACCTTATCAATAGTTTGAAGTGTGAAAAGAATGCTCTTAAGCGTGAAAAGATCGTTCTGCAGATGAAGGTGGTTGAACTTTAACATATATTAGCAGTGGATGTTCATGAGGAAGATAATGATGATAGAGGATTGAACTAGAGGGACGGCATATTCCTGTAAATTATACAGTTGGAGGGATGGTTAAGATGAATGAAATGAGGCTCAATAAGTGGGTAATGCTCTTGTGCGTAGTTGTGGGATTTGTGGCAACGTGGATTATAAAGTGAGAAGGAAAATATTATTTTTTTTGAAGTATTTTGGATCATGTAACGTAGTATTGATGTAATGTTAAATTTGTTGAAGTTATTAAACGCGACCTTGAGTCTGTTACGCAACCCAGTAGCTAGTTTATTGATGGACCTAGTGTCTATTACGCAACCTCTGGGGTTATGCCTGGTGCAATATTATATTTGATCAAATTATTAGTACTATACATATTGTCTACTACGTAACGAAGTAGCTAGTTTATCACTAGACACATTGTCTATTACGCAACGAAGTAGCTAGTTTATTACTAGACACATTGTCTATTACGCAACGAAGTAGCTAGTTTATTACTAGACACATTGTCTATTACGCAATCAAGGTAGTTTCATTACATACGGTTAGGTACAAATATCATAAATTACTACAAGTTCACCCAAAATGAATTTGTCCCATGACCAACACAACATTGAAATTTTAATTATAAAACTAAGAAGGGTCCATCCTTCCCCTGAAGATATCAACTGCAAATATTTCCCTGAACAACTCCGTTCGCTTGTCATTAAGTTGATCCAACAACGTATCAGTTAGCAGGAAGTCAATAACCTTCACTGCATATGCTCCACTGCTTTCACTACAATAATCAAAGACACAATTAATTATTAAAGAAACCAAAGAATGAGTAAAACATAATGAATCACAAATTTAATTTACCTTGGATGAATGGATGGAACATCCATAATACGCTCCCAAGACCATTTCTTCATAAGCACATCTTGTCCTAAGCCTGCAAACTTGCCAATTTTCATCAAAATCCTCGGCATCACGAGTGCGAGGGGTTGTACCAATTTTTCTAGTTTGCCGTCATCATACAAGCTGACATTGCTATCGTAAATTTGAATCAAACCCTCTGCCAAGTGAAAAAAAACCAGCACAAAATACTTGTTATCAATTTGCCATACATAGTACAACAGCTTAGCCTTGCACCACTCCACAACCCCAGGTTGTGGCATAGTTCCTTGAGGATATAGCATCAGGGGTGTAAGACACAAGTCTTGACAAGCATTAACTGTGTCACAAAAGTCCAAATCCTTTTCTTCTTTACTAGCAGCCTCCTTGATCTTATCCCATGCAGTGCACATGTTGTTGCATAATGCAACATCCATAACAACATGACTACGGACATAAAGGCATAGATATTTTATGTTTCGTACACGCATTAGTGACAAACGTTCCTCCACATGCTAAATATTATATAGAACTGTACGTTAAATATGGAGCTACTAAAAAAAAGAAATACACACAGTGAGTGATTAAGGGACTTACAAAAATTAAAACTGACAGGTTAGCACCACACAACTGCACGAAAAACCTCCAGTCATAGCTACCGGTCAACACGTTTTTGGAAAACTTCTCCTTTTTGTCAAACTATTAACAAAATAGTTTTTTTATCTTCCTCCGAAACTAGTTTGAGTACGTCTACCTTTGGTTTTTTCTTCTTGCTCTATTCCAGCTTCCTCATCTTGCTTGCATAAATTGGAGTATTCCTCAGTCTGCTTTGCAATCTTGTAACTCTGTACCAAGGTGACTCAACTACTTTAGAAGGGCTCTCATTTTGATTTTGCATCTCCCTAAGGATCTTCAACACCTTATCCAATTTCTTATTCATAACCTTTTAACTCTTCACGCACGTCTATATCACTAGGCTAAGCATTGCACATCCCGCATGGTCCTCCTATACCAATATCAGAAAAATCACCAATCAGTGGTGAACCAGGAATACTCCCACCTAAAGGGTCATAATCATCAATGTCAGCTTCATCATTAGTCTCTAATCTCGCTACACCAGGTACTTTTTAATGGCAATCACCCATTCTAAATCAACCGCTAGCTGGTCGATTATAGGATCCGCTACCTCATCGTCGTATGGTACCAATCTCTTAATATAGTCCATATCCATATCATGTAGGGTAAGAATAAGGTAAAGGTTCACCTCCTGAAATATAGCATAGATATAAGTCATTATACAAGCAATACAAAACAATAGACACGAGGTCTATGATAATCTCCTACTTTAGTTGATTCTAAACTACTGGTGGAGTGTTATTGCACTCTTTATCCTACCACACCAGGATCATCAACTCTCTGCGTAAAAGGATCCTAATCAAGGTCAGATGTCACTTTCTTGTGTGCTATCTCAATATCCTTGACAATGGCATCGGTACGACCTTTGATTTCTCGGCACTACGACCAAATAGCGAAATTGTTTCGTACGCCCATGCCTATATTTTTTTGTGAACCAAAAAGTATTAATTTATGTATACAGTAAATAAAATAATAGTACTCAACTGCAAAGAAATCTGAGAAGGTTGTTTTAATACTTACCATGAATGCCCATGGGAAGCCGTGCAGGGCACAACTAGCCGATTTGGACTTTTTAGCAGAGATATTATTTTCCTTCCTCTT